GTGTAAATTTTGAACATTATTTTTAAAGAGACAACCTACTTCCACATAATGTGGTAACATTGTCCCCATATAAATGTCTCGACCGATTTAAGGAATATACCTATGAGAAGGTAGGTGAAAAGTTCGATCTTAACAAAATTTTTACATGTTATTGGATCTCCTAGCTCAATATATCGGTAGTTGACATATTGAGGCACTTGTAATTTTATAGTCACACAGATATATGCGAGATGTGTGCTTATAAGTTCAAAGATATTGACCAACGATTAGGCAAATAACCACCATATAATGATACCACCTGATTTAATATTTCCCCTGGCATAGCAATATTTTAAGTACTTTAAGGAATAAAATGTCTTCTGGTTTTCATCCTGGCATTTGTCCCAAAATGTACGTACATTCTATGGAAAAAGTGTAAGCACCATGATCGCGTGTACATTCAATGATATACTTCTCGATTATTTTTTTAAATTCTCACAAAAATGTTTCAATACTAGTCAATCGAATTGAAAAAATATATATTTTCGAAATTTTCAATAATTGACAAATGAAGGCTTAAAGGAATAATACGCTACCAATTTTCGCCCAAAATATGTCAATATAACAACTACGACATGGTTGAACCAAATAGCTCGATACTAAATTCGTGGAAATGCAAATATGCTTCATCATATATATATATATATATATATATATATATATATTTTTTTTTTTTGAAAATTTTCGCGGTTTTTGATTTTTTTCTCACCTTTTAAACCTTTCCTAGACCTCCACGAATATTTCAAGACTAAGATAATATAAATCCGTTCAGCCGTCCGCTAGTTATAGCGAGACTAACGAACAACAATTCATTTTTATATATATAGAAGATAAAAACTATTAATTATTTTATTTATTAATTGAATATATTTTTTGCCACCTCAAATATAATGTCTCAAAGTAATTTTTACTTTACTTACTTTTACAATGATACATTCCCCTATGTCCACTATGCAAAAAAAAACCACGATAACATATTCGGGTCTATTTAAATATTATATAACCGATAATAATAGCCTTTCACAAAAATCTTCATTACATTGGTCATCATCTAGTCTCAAAAGCAAATAAAGTTAAAGACCATTTATTAGATAAATATGTTATTATATTTTGCAACCAAAACAAAATAAAAAACCCCAAAAATTCAATTTGCTTTCATTATTTTGTTACCCTTATTTCTCATATTTCATTACATTAGATCGTATTCCCTTTTGGCGTTTATTTTGTTTTTATTTTTTGCCATGTCTGCAATAACAAGCTAGCTAGCATGCGAACAAGAATAAATATGTTAAAATGTCTGCAAATATTATCATATTTCTTGTAAGAATGTTTCATTTTCCTGTTTTAGTCATCTTCATAGATAGAATTCTTGCACAACAACACAAATGACGACATTTCATCATCACACCAGAGAAACACCATTCATCCATCCGTACATCAGTTGCCGGTTGTATTCAATCATGAAAAATTTGCATTGCAGACGTTTGGGCGCCATTTGAAATTGTTGCAACCCAACATCAAACACTTTCTTCTCTCTCTCTCTCTCTCTCCCCCCTTAGTAGTAGTCGTAGCAGCAAGTGTCGTTGTTGTTTAAAAACAACACTTTTAACACTATTCCCTACTACTCTAAACAAACATTTGCTTAAATAACATCACATCATCACATAGAATGGTAATTTTTTGCATTCGTTGGAACACCCTAATACCCCAAACCCCTATTTATGCAGTCTGTTCTTTGGCATCAACTGCTGCTTGTTATGCAGTATCTATCTTTTTAAATGAGTCACAATGGCTTGGATTATGACTACTTTTGCCACTTAACAATGGAGCTTAAATAATCAACTCATCATTGTTGCATAAAAGAAGCAGTAGCGTAATTGGTCAGGAAAGGAAAAAGGAGGAAATTGCAGGATATTTCAATTAGATGAGAAAAAACATAATATTGTCAATCCGTTTTTCTTGTGATATTAAATGTGGATTTTTTTTTCAAAATATTATTAGAAGTATAAACGTTTTGAATTTTGGTATAAACCACTTTCCACACCTCTACCAAAACCAAAGGGACCCCCCATTCACGGTGTCAAAATTTTTTTTTTTTTAATCTAATTCGAATCTACTCTAATTCTAGAATGTCCCTACAAAATTTCAAGTCATTATTATATCCTTGATTTGTTTAATATCTATGCATTTTTAATACTTTGGAGATGTTTTAAACGCACTTCTTGAGCTGGCTTAAGCGTGTGGCTAGAGCATTATTTTTCAATATTCGACCAACATCAAAGCCACTTTCTCAGTTATTTATTATCCTTGTAAATATATTCCACAAAAATTATTTAAAAATTCAATGCTTTTGGAGACTGAAAATATACTTTAAAATCCACGCTTGTTCGGCCTGAAAATATACCTTACAATGCATGCTTGAGGAGCCTGAAAATATACCTTAAAACCCACTCTTGTGGAGCTTGGAAGCATTTTTTTAAAAATTCGGACATCTTGACCTTGGTTTCATCGAATATTTGCAAGACAATTAATGCCCTAATCACCTGTCTTGCAAATATTCGATAAACACCCAAGCCTCTTTGTAAGCTATTATTTTTTTGAAAATCTTCCTTAAAAAATAAACGTTTCAAAGATATACTATTCATTAAAATTTTCTCAATTCAGACATGTTGATTCCTTTTTCATTTACAATTTGCAACTCGTTAACAGGCATATATCATTTCTTATCTTTACTGAAAACAATTTGCAATTTTATTATCCTTGCAATTGTGGCTTTACAGCAAATAACAACAAGGACATCCTTCCATTGGGCTACGACCTTGTCCATTATGAATAATTTATAACTACTGTGTTAAATGACTCTACACTATGCAATACAATGCACAAGACACACACATACACAGAGAACTTGAATGCTTACAGAGTCAGCAAAGACAATATTCCTTGTGATCCTTAAAATTGTTTTACGTGCCGGCTGGCTGGCTAGTTGGAAAAATATATATATTTTTGGTGGGAGGAAATGTTTTTGAAATTTCACAAAATTTTAATAATTAAAGCAAAAGGATAACAGCATTGTAAGATACAAAAAATCAAAAGGATTTAACGTACATGCATAAAATATCAAAGTGGTTAAGAGTAAAATGTCAAAATTTATTTCGTACATTTTTAAGTAGCTTCCTTATTCATCTAATGCAATTTATTTTCATTTGTTTTTATTTTAAACTAAACCCTATAACCTAACCTCATTGTAACAACAATAACATTCAACATTTTCTTGCCACACAAAAAAAATCCACTCTCATCTGCTGCTCCTGCTACTTCTACTTCTTCTGCTTTACGTTGAGGAAATCACCACTTTATATTCAAATTCCCGACACATTTGTGCAAAGTAAACACATTTTATGGCAACTCAAGTACCGCCACTTCACATGTTTATTGGTATCCTTGATGGTATCGCTCACATACACACACACACCCACCCATCATCAGCATTATCCTGGGTGTTGTGTTGCTTGATCTCAATATTGCAAAAAGGTGATACAACATGTTTGGGTGACATTTTCACCATTGTATTGATTGTTTTTTTTTTTTTTTTTTTGCGAATGACAACCTTGTTATTTATACCGAATATTGCAAAAAATGAGCAATCCTCACAAAACGGAATCCTTCGAAAATAACAACATGGAGATTTAAGTCCATGGTTACAGTACACAAAATATCGATTATATTCTATAAAATTAACCTGCGATATTCTAGTAAATATTGCAAATATTCTATAAAATGCAACGATAATGAATCCTTGGATATCCTTCAAAATATTCTATAAAAAGCCACTTTGATGAATCCTTGGATATCCTTCAAAATATTCTATAAAAACCACTTTGATGAATCCTTGGATATCCTTCAAAATATTCTATCAAAAGCCACAGTGATGAATCCTTGGATATTCTTCAAAATATTCTATAAAAAGTCACGGTGATGAATCCTTGGATATCCTTCGAAATATTCTATAAAAAGCCCCTTTGATGAATCCATGGATATCCTTCAAAATATTCTATAAAAATTTACGGTGATGAATCCTTGGATATCCTTCGAAATATTCTATAAAAAGTCACGGTGATGAATCCTTGGATATCCTTCGAAATATTCTATAAAAAGCCACGACGATGCATCCTTGGATATCCTTGAGAATCTTCTTTAAAAATCCACGCCTGTTGAGCTAAGCCTAGCCTTGAAAATCAACTTTAAAAATCCACGCCTGTTGAGCTAAGCCTAGCCTTGAAAATCAACTTTAAAAATCCACGCCTGTTGAGCTAAGCCTAGCCTTGAAAATCAACTTTAAAAATCCACGCCTGTTGAGCTAAGCCTAGCCTTGAAAATCAACTTTAAAAATCCACGCCTGTTGAGCTAAGCCTAGCCTTGAAAATCAACTTTAAAAATCCACGCCTGTTGAGCTAAGCCTAGCCTTGAAAATCAACTTTAAAAATCCACGCCTGTTGAGCTAAGCCTAGCCTTGAAAATCAACTTTAAAAATCCACGCCTGTTGAGCTAAGCCTAGCCTTGAAAATCAACTTTAAAAATCCACGCCTGTTGAGCTAAGCCTAGCCTTGAAAATCAACTTTAAAAATCCACGCCTGTGAGATAAGTCTAGCCTTGAAAATCTACTTTAAAATTCCACGCCTCTTAAGCCAAGTCTAGCCCTGAAAATGTACCTTAAAAATCCATGCCTCTTGATTTTTTTAAAACATCCTGAAATATTTTTTAAAATATTGTGAAATATTCTTTTAAATTCCGCGTTTGTTAAGCCCGAAAATATTCTTTAAAAATTCACGCTTGTGAAGCCTGAAAATATACTTCGAAAATCAAAGTTTTTGAAGCCTGAAAATATATAAAATCCTCTCTTATTGAACCTAATACATTCTTGAAAATATTATTCTAAAAAAAGTATCTTCTTCTTTCAGATCAATACCACTCGTCAAGATGCATTTCCAAAATCAAATGTTGTATAAACTCACCTTTGGTACATTTTTAATGCTATTGGCCCACAGTGCAACGGCCACAGATATGCTAAGGGATGGTGGAGGTAAGTTATATATTAATTTATACTTTTTTTTTTGTTTTCATTGACAGATTTTAAAATATATTTTCCTCTTCCTTAGATTCCCTGAATTCGTTGTATGACAATCTGTTACAACGTGAATACATCGGGCCCATTGCCTTTCCCAACCATCAGGTGGAACGTAAGGCTCAACGATCGCCATCACTGAGGTTAAGGTTTGGTCGGCGCAGTGACCCCGAAATGTTAACTCAACTACCCGAAAAACGTTGGTTCGGTGATGTCAACCAGAAACCGATACGATCTCCCTCGTTGCGTTTACGATTTGGTAGACGCAGTGATCCCAACATGCCCATCCACAGCCCCTTTGATTTGTTGATGAATGCCCGTCAGAATGTTGATGCCAGCAGCTCGGCCAACACCAATGATGACTACAATGATATTTTCGATAATTACTATGAACGTGTTGTTCGCAAACCCCAACGTTTGAGGTTCGGACGTAGTCTACCCTATCAAAGTGATTTGACTTCTGCTGCTGCTGCCGATAATTTTGAAAATAACGATGACTCAAATCTATCGAATACCGGCGATGATGATTTCTATAATTCTCTGTTGCATTCACAGAAATTGAGAAATTTACTATTGACTCTGAGGCAATTCCAGGAAGCTAATTCACCCGCTAACAATGACGAATCCACATCGATGGAAAATGATATGGATGAATTTGAACGGGCCATTCGCAAGCCAGCACCATTGCGTTTACGCTGGGGTCGCAGTACCGGTGGTCGTAGCACACAAATGATGAATGAGGATAAAACCAAAATGGAATTGGATGAAAAGGTGAGAAGAGGGTTTTGAAAATGAAATTCTTAAAATAATAGATTTGAAAATATTCTTTAAAAAATCCACTCTTCTTGAGCTTGGCTTAAATTTGAAAATACTCCTTAAAAATTCACACCTCTTGAGATTGGCTTAGATTTGAAAATATTCTTTAAAAAATCCACGATTCTTGAGCTTGGTCTTAGATTTGAAAATATTCTTTTAAAAATCCATGCCTCTTGAGCTTGGATTAGGTTTCAAAATACTCCTTAAAAATCCACACATCTTGAGCTTGGCTTAGATTTGAAAATATTCTTTAAAAATCACGTTTCTTTAGCTTGGCTTAGATTTGAAAATATTCTTTAAAAAAACACGCTTCCTGATCTTGGCTTAGATTTTAAAATACTCCTTAAAAATGCACGCCTCTTGAGATTGGCTTAGATTTCAAAATACTCCTTAAAAGTCCACCCCTCTTGAGATTGTCTTAGTGTGGAAAATATTCTTTAAAAATCCACGCCTCTTGAGCTTGGCTTAGCCTGAAACATATTGTTTAAAAAATCTACGCTTGTGAAGCCTTAAAATATTCTTCAAAAATACACGCTTTTGAAGTCTAAACATAATCTTTAAAAATCCATGCTTATGAAATCTAAAAATATTCGTTTAAAATTCACGCTTGTGAAGCCTAAAATCCACGCTTATGAAGCCTTAACATCTTCTTCAGAAATCCACGCTTATGAAGCCTTAACATCTTCTTCAGAAATCCACGCTTATGAAGCCTTGACATCTTTTTCAGAAATCCACGCTTATGAAGCCTTAACATCTTCTTCAGAAATCCACGCTTATGAAGCCTGAAAATATTCTTTAAAAATCCTCGCTTGTGAAGCCTGAAAATATTCTTTAAAAATCCACGCTTATGAAGCCTGAAAATATGCTTTAAAAATCCACGCTTATGAAACCTGAAAATATGCTTTAAAAATCCACGCTTGTGAATCCTAAAAATTTTCTTTAAAAATCCACGTTTGTGAAGCCTAAAAAATATTCTTTAAAATTAATTTAAAAAAAAATCTTTCAAAATCTACGTTGTAAGGCCTAAAAATATTCTTTGAAAATCGACGCTTGTGAAGCCTGAAAATATATATGAGCTTGATTCGATTTTTATTATTTTTTTTTCAATTTTTTTTCAGAAAAAAATTTCACCAATTTCCAACAACGTGGAGAAGACCGAAACCCAACAACAAAACAAAGACTAAATTCATACACAAAAAACACCTCAACTGAAACAACACTGAATTTCAAGGATACTGAATGGATTTGAAAGTAAAACTGAATGACTTCAATTATAAATGGAAATTTTATTATTAAATGTAAAAAAATAATAAAATGAAAACAAAACACAAACACTTTTTTGGAAAAATATTCATATTCAAAAAAACAAGAGAAATAGTAAAAATAACAAAAAAATAATATCTAAAATATTAAAAAATAAATTAAATATACATATACAACTCAAATTAAATACTAAACGATGAGGAAACAGAAAAAAAAAACAAAAATGTCCATAAACTTTAACACACGTGGAATACAAACGAAGGCAGCAAGAAGAAAAATAAGCTGATTTTTTTTTAATTTTCATAAATTTAATTTTCCAAACTATTGTAAATAGCGAAAATCCCACACATCTCTGTTTTATTTTAGCATTTAAGTAAAACAAAAATCAAAGTATTATTTTTGAATATTTTTAGTGTTAAAAATATAAAACAAGAAACATGTTGGCCCCCCTCTCCCCTTATTAGGAAAAATAAAATCGTTCTATATGCTAAACTAAAAACAAAAAATATTTAACTGTTTACAAGCTACTAATTGGAAGAAATGTTTTTTTTTAATTTACACCATCATTAAAAATATAATAAATACAAAATTACAACAAAAATCTTAAAAACATAAATAAATTATATATTTATATACACAAAAATGTATTTGTAATGTATTGTTCCATTCTCCCACAAACACACATTTAAAGAAAACCAAAACCTTAATATATGTCTGTTAACAACATTTTATTATAATAAAATATACAAACAAAATTTAAAAATCCAAACAAAGATATGGCCTGGAAATGTTCTTTAAAATATTTTGATTAAAACCTCCGAATCTTTCTTTCAAACAAATCAGCATTCATTTTAATTAAAATAATAAAATTCAAACATTATCGAAATTTTCCAGTTCACATCTTAAAAAACTCCCACTCTTATTAACTAAAATATACAACCCTTAAACTCCCCCAAACAACCTGCATAACTTATTTTTTTTTAATTTGCAATCTAAATCCCATATATATATTTATTATAAACAAATTATTATTAAATAAAAATATTAATTATATTGATATCATAAATGTAAATAGCAAAAACAAAACAAAAAACAGTAAAACATTTTACCAATTCCCCACCACCCAAAATTAAAAAAAAAAATGAAATAAGAAAATTCTTGAAGTGGTATGTAACTCGTATATGTATAAAACCAAGAAATAAACTTTCTATACACAGAAACCAAACACCTACACATGAAACACAGATCAAAATTGATAACAACATCAACAAACAAATATTTAATGACAAATTGATTATTATTATAGAAATTGAAGAATTTAAAAATTTAATTTTGAAAAACTCAAATAAAACAAAACTAACTTAACAAACAAAAACAAACAAAACGAAATTCTATTGTTATTTTTGAAACAAAAAAATACTGGTAAGTAAAAATTACCCAAATGGCAGACCTTTGCAAAAATATTTTTGGAAAATCGCTTATATTTTACCACAAACCAAGTTGAAAAACCAGTGAGGAAAGATCAAAAGTCGGGCGGGGCCTTCACAACTTTGGGTACCAATCTGAAATTTATGAAAAATTGAATGTCAATCATCGAGCAAAATATGTAAAAGATCAGTAGCGTTGGCGGTTTATTTGGGATACCATTTGTATTTTGTTTTTGCAAAATAGTCAGGCTGAATCCCAGTTTGTTGTTTTTATAAAAAAAAAACTATTTATTAGTGGGGAATGTATGTTCCCTTAGTTTTTTGTTGGGATATTCTCCCCAGAAGCTATTGCTTCTATACAAAAAACCTTTCATACCCAAATGTCTCTTGTAACAAAGCGAAGTACTTAGCTGACCAAAAACTAAGGGAACTGATGAGGATCAGTGGCGTGATCCGAAACTATAGTCTTCCCTGCCTTACCCCTCGGCAAACAATGCCATACATTCCCCACTAATAAATAGTTGTTTTTTATAAAACAACAAACTGGGATTCAGCCTGACTATTTTGCAAAAACAAAATACAAATGGTATCCCAAATAAACCGCCAACACTACTGAAGTTGTAGACGCAGGCACGGTTAAACTGTTTGGTTTGTTGCTGTATACTAGCAACACCAACAAAGTCGTTGTGTGCATTTGTCGCGATGTGACAACACACAACAGTGGGAAAGGTGTGGTATTGTTTGTAAATGCCTTGTTAACCTCGAAGTGAGGCACCAGCGAAATTCTCATGCAGTTTATGTCGTTGGTCAGCTAAGTACTTCGCTTTGGTACAAGAGACATTTGGGTATGAAAGGTTTTTTGTATAGAAGCAATAGCTTCTGGGGAGAATATCCCAACAAAAAACTAAGGGAACTGATGAGGATCAGTGTCGTGATCCGAAACTATAGTCTTCCCTGCCTTACCCTTCGGCAAACAATGTCATACATTCCCCTCTAATAAATAGTTGTTTTTTATAAAAACAACAAACTGGAATTCAGCCTGACTATTTTGCAAAAACAAAATATGTAAAAGATCTATATATAAATGGACACAGTGAGCTTTCCAAAATTTATCTCGATCGAATCTAATACAAAACTTGACATCCATAATTCTGGACCTAATTCAGTACTCTGTGCCAAATTTTGTTTCAATCGGACAAACATCTATAGTATGGCGCACCATTTACATAAAATAGGATGAAATTATATATGGGAGCTATATCTAAATCTGAACAGATTTCAACAAGACTTGCACCTAATTCAGTACAATGTGCAAACTTTTGTGCCAATCGGCCTAAATTTGACTCTTCGGCCTAAATTTGACTCCATTTACATAAAATCGGACGAAACAATGTAGGGAGTTTGGGAGTTTGGTGCTCCATTTACATAAAATTGGACGAAACTATATATGGGAGCTATTCCGATCCTGAACCGAACCGAATTTCAAAAGGTTTCGACCTTTGCCCAAATAAGTGACATGTGCCAAATTTCATAAAAATCGGATCATAAATGCGACCTGTACTTTGTTCACAATAATACATGGACGGACAGACAAACGGACATGCATAAATCGACTCAGAAAGTGATTCTATGCATATTCTCAAAAGAAACCATGGGTCTATCTCGATTATTTTTGCCTGTTACAAACATATGCACAAAGACATAATACCCTGTACCACAGTGTGGTGAAGGGTATAATAAGGAAGATCTCAATCTTCGATTGGCTTTATCCTAGTTCATACGAGAGCTATATATTCCCAGAGAAATATTTGCCCGCCTTTCGTAAAAACACTGCCTCGAGAAAAATGTGTTTAAAGTTTGAGAATTACTCTTACCTTCACTTGTGCTGACCTATATATTTCTTTAATGGCCCCATACACTATATATCATGCCGTACAGCATTTATCATAGTATGTGTTATTTTTTGAAAGTTTATTTATGTATGTGTGACACACACAATGCATGAAGAAAATCAAAATAGTTTTGATTTTGAAAATGAAACCCTATCAATCTGGTGAATAATATTCATTTTGAAAGTTGTCAGTAAATAATTTTGTGAACAAAAATCGATTATTTGGAATAGTGATTGAAGAGTTTGCCATACACTAGTCAATCTCACATATACAAAAAGGGGTTCATCGGCACGGCGGCATGATGTATAGTGTATGGGGCCCTTTACATCCCTCCTCAAATGTTCTTGGTGAGCTTAAGAGTTATCAGCAAAAATGCATAACGTCATAACTCAAAAACTGTAGTATAAATAACCTCAAGGGTCTTAATTTCCACAAAGTTACATTAGTCATATATGCAGTAGTATTGGTGTATGAAGGAAATTTTTGAAATTCGTACTAATGTGTACTATCAAATTTGGATTTGGGTGAACCGATAGAGCTGGAATCTTGACATTTGCATTTAGGATCATTGTTGTGGGGTTGAAATGAGCTATTTAGGAAGTTTTGGAAATTCCTACTTATGTGAACTACATTTGGTACAATTTAAATTTTGTGTGAACCGATGTAGGAAGTTTTGGAATTTTTTACTAAATGGTACCAAATGTGAATTTGGGTGAACCGATTGAGCTGGAATCTTGAAATTTGACGATAGGATTACTGTCGGTGTGTAGGATTGGGCTTTGTTGAAATACTTGGGAATTCGTAATAACGTGTACTAAATTTTGTACAATTTAAATTTTGTGTGAACCAACAGACCTGGAATTGAAATTTGGAGTTAGGGTAGCTGTTGAGGTGTATAATAGGGATATATAGAAAGTTTTGTAAATTAGTACTAATTTATACAAAATGGTACCGAAGGTGATCACATTTGTGATGTGTCCAAAATGGTACCAAATGTGATTTGGGTGAACCGATAGAGCTGAAACACTGAAACTTGGAAATGGGTACTAAATTGTACTAAATTTGGTACAATTTGAATTTCGGGTGAACTAATGGAAAATTTGAAGTTAGGATCATTGTTGGGATGTAGAATTGGGCTTTGTTGTTTGTTGTAATTTCTATTAAATTTGGTACATTTAAAATTTTGATTGAACCAATACAGCAGTATTCCTGAAATTTGGGGTTAGGGTTACTGTTGGGGTGTAGGATTGAGATATGTAGACAATTTTGGAAATGGGTACTAAATGTGTACAAAATGGTACCAAATGTGGATTTGGTGAACCAATAGAGCTGGAACACTGAAATTTGAAATACGGTTACTGTTGGAGTGTAGGATTGATGTGTCGAAGTAGTTTTGGAAATGATGGAGCTGGTATCCTGAAATTTGAAGTTAGGATCATTGTTGTGATGTAGGATTGGGCTTTGTTGAAAGGTTTGAAAATTCGTACTAATGTGTACTAAATGGTACCAAATTTGGATTTGGGTAAACCGATAGAGCTGGAGTCTTAAAATTTGATGTTAGGATCAATGTTGTGTTGTAAGATTGGGCTTTGTAAAAAATTTTGGAAA